GTGCGTCTCTTCATGCACATGTGCGTGGACAGAGAAGGCATGCCCAAAGCCGTCAGTGCTGCCACATCTGTCATTGCCAGCCTTGAGTTCTGCATACGCACGGTGCTGCACCACCACCTCTTCAATGATACTGATGGTCAGCTACTCAAGATGTCTACGTCTCAGACAGAGAAGGCCATGCGCAAGCACCTCAAGGAGAACGTCTACCACAACAGCAACTCTGCCAGCGCCCACCTCCAGTCTCTCCACCGCTACGGCAAGGTGCTTGCTCAGGATGAAGTCACGCCTTTCATCTGCTCTTGGGCGCATGACCTCAGCCACGTCAAGTACGGTACAGAGGAGATCCAGATCACACGCCTCCAAGCGCTGATGCACGGCGCACAGGAGCAGGCAGAGCGTCACCTACGCAAGCTCTGTCTGCTGCCAGAAGACGCTACGCTGGCCGTCAACCTCCGGCATGTCCAAGATGATCACCGCAACACGCAACCAGGCTTCAACTTTGTCACCGCCTCTCCAGAGCTCAGCAACCTCAGCACCGTCCTCTGCCGTGCAGTTGCTGGCAACGTACCACCTGCGCAACCGTTGCTGGACGCCTTCAGCAAGGAGCTGGAGTTTGACGCAGAGGCAGCGCAGTCCTACTTCAGCACGCACAACGAGTTCATCAAGCTGCTGGCCGTTCTCATTGAACTGGGCAGCGGTCTGCCTGCAAGAGGAACAGAGCTGATGCAGCTTCAGCACACCAACACGCTCATGGGGCCACGCAACATCTTTGTCCATGACGGCAGCGTCTTCACCGCCCTTCCTACCAACAAGGGCTCTGGACGGCAAAAGATCATCCCACGCTTCCTGCCTCACGCTGTGGGCTGCATGGTGGTCTACTACGTCTCTCAGGTGGCGCCCTTTGTCCATCTGCTCCACAATGCCATCATCAAGCCCCGCTCTGCCTGCCACATGCTTCTCTCTATGCACACAGGCCGCCCACTGGACACCAACACCGTCAGCAAGATGCTGCAGGCGCTCCACCAGCAGTACATCAGCTCTGTCTCTAGCGGCATGACCATGCGCATGTGGCGTCAGGTTGCAGTTGCCATTGACCGCAAGCTCATCCGTCCAGGCTCTGCCAGCGCGTCCAGCAAGGACGCAGAGGAGGACAACGAGCATGATCTTCAGGCAGGTCACTTGACCAGCACCGCAGAGCAGCACTACGGTCTGGATGCAAGCATGCTCTATCAGCTCACCCAGGAAAGCATGGACCGCATGCTGGCCGTGTCAGAGCGCTGGCACATGTTCTGGAGGATGCGCACACGCTTCCAAGAGGACGCGCAGCCGTTCAGCCAGCTGGTAGAGCAGGGAAGCGGTGCAGATCACGCTCAGGAGCTCAGAGGCATCAAACGCAAGCTGGAGCTGGTGGAAGAAAGCGTGCTCACCGTCAGACGCAAGCTGGAACACCACACACCACCATCAGTACACAGCGCAAGCAACAGCCTGCAGCTCAGTGGTGCCTCACGCTCTGCCGTCCTTCCTCCAGCTGTCAGCAGCGCCCTTTTCCAGATCACCGGCAGCCACCGCACCAAGACGCTGGAGCAAGCCTATGCACTCAATGCCATTCACGCCAAGGAGTCTCCGCTGATCATCATCATGGCCACTGGGTCTGGCAAGTCTGCGCTCTTCATGGCTCCGCTCCACTGGCTGCCAGAGCGGTCCGTCATCATTGTGGTGGTGCCATTCATTGCGCTGACAGATGACCTCCTTCAAGACTGTTGCCGTGTGGGCGTCTCTGCAAAGCGGTGGGCTACGCATCAACCGTCAAGAACAGTAGCAGGTGTGGGCGCTCAGCTGGTCTTTGTTGCGGTGGAGAACTGCCACAGTGTGGAGTTTGCCAACTGGGCACGCGTCTTGCAAGAAGAGAAGCAGCTGGCGGCCATCTTCTTTGACGAGTGTCACGTCTGCCTCACGCAGAGCAGCTTCCGACCCGCCATGGACAAGATCAAGGCCCTGCTGTCCTCTGTGCACGTGCAGCAGTACTTCCTCACCGCTACCCTCCCACCTTCCCTGGTGTCCATCCTCAAGACAACGCTCCAGCTCCCGCATGACGGCACAGGCATGATACGTGCCAGCACCAACCGCAAGAACATCTCCTATGCGGTGCAGCAGCTGACGTCAGAGGACAGCGTGTTGCTCTGTTTGGAAGATCTCCTGGCAGCGCATCCAACGGGAGCAGTGATGGTCTTCTGCGTCTCCAAGCCCGCCACCACTTTCACGGCAACAGCGCTTGGCTGCCCCTTCATCACATCAGACATGGACGAGACGTACAAGCAGACCACCATCTCCACCTGGTTGCGGTGCTCCACCACAGAGACGGACAACAGCAAGCGCATCCTTGCAGGCACCACGGCCATTGGCACCGGCATCAACCCACAGCACGTCAAGCTGGTAGTCCACTGCAGCAACACGTTTGACATGATCAGCTACGTCCAAGAGTCAGGCCGTGCAGGCCGCAACGGTGCACCAGCAACCGCAGTGCTGCTTGCGGTCAACAACACGTCCGTCCAGCAGTATGTGGAGGAGCAGACCTGCCGCCGTTTGATCATCTCCACTTACATTGACGGCATGCCGGTCACCTGCCTCAGCCTTAGGGTTAGGGTTAGGGTTAGGGTTAGGGTTAGGGTTAGGGTTAAGGGTTAGGGTTAGGGTTAGGGTTAGGGTTAGGGTTAGGGTTAGGGTTAGGGTTAGGGTTAGGGTTAGGGTTAGGGTTAGGGTTAGGG